ACGGGCGGGGACTGGCGAGCGGGTCAACGGAGCAACCAGGCAGAGGGGCCCGACGACCAGGGGCGCAAGTCCGCACGGGCGTCTGGGCTCGTGTTCCGGGCAGTGAACTCTTTTGGGGAGGTTGGCCAGACCAGCCCAGCCTTCAGGGTGGGGGGTCACAGAAGCCGTGTTCCTGTGTCATCTCCCCCAGTACACACACTCCGAGCACCCTCTCTCGTCCCTCGCTACCATGCTGTCTCGCTCTCTGTCCGCCCGCCCGGCCATGGCCGCCGCCGCCAACAAGGTACTTCCCCCTGTTGTGGCCTCCACTTTCTCCCTTCACACCACACTCACCCCTCCCTTCCGGGTCCTCTCGCCCGTGTCCCCCCCCCCCCCCCCCCCTCTTTCGGTCATGCAAAATGAAAGGCTTTCCTCTCGACTGTCGGCGCCAATGTCCCCAAGGTCCCCCTCTACATCAATGGCCAGTTTGTTCAGTCCTCCACCGACAAGTGGATCCCCGTTCACAACCCCGTGCGTGGCTCCCCCTCCCCCCCGTCTTGTCTCGGGGAAATGCCTCCTCTTCGGCGTCGCTCACCCCTTTCCCATGCTCCTGCCGCTGCTGCGCCCCCCTCCCCCTCCCCCCTCCATGTCTCCACATTCCGCATAGGCCACCGGCGAGATCACCTCCCTGGTTCCGGAGGCCACCGCTGAGGAGCACGAGGCTGCCATCGCCTCGGCTGCTGAGGCCTACAAGGACTGGCGCAACTCGACTGTCCTCACCCGTCAGCGCAAGATGATGGATCTCCAGCTTCTGATTCGCAACGACATGGTGCGCTGCGGGCTCCTCTCTCTCTCTCTCTGTCGCATGTCTTGCTTGTGCTTGTGGTTCCCTTGCTGACCGCCGTCGATCGATCGATCGATCCACCACCTGGTCCGGGCTGCCGCAGGACAACATCGCCGAGCTCATCACCAAGGAGCAGGGCAAGGTCCTGTCTGATGCCCGTGGCGATGTCCTCCGCGGTCTTCGTACGTGCTTTCGCATGAGCTCCCCCCCCCCCTCCCCCCCTTCGGGGACCCCATATTCCTTTGTGGCTGACCTATCTTCCTTCGCTGGCGGAAACGCCTGCCTCGATGCACATGCACGCGCACACGTCCACAGAGGTTGTTGAGCACGCCTGCTCCATCCCCTCGCTGATGATGGGTGAGACCCTCACCCCGGTGGCCACCGATATGGATCTCTACTCCCTGCGTCAGCCGATCGGTGTTTGCGCTGGCATCACCCCGTGCGTTGCTGCTCTCCTTCCATGCCTCCTTCCCCCCCCCCCCTTTGCTGGACACACCCGCTCACTCCTCGTTCCTCTGTTGATCCACACTTCCGCAGCTTCAACTTCCCCGCCATGATTCCTCTCTGGGTGCGCCACTCTCCCCTGCCTCTCTTTTGCTTCTCTCTCTCTCTCTCTCTCTCCTCTGCCTCTTCCGCAATCACCCCACACACAGCCTACTCGGTGACTTGCTGCCCTCCTCCTACCCGGTGTCGTCTGCACACAGGACTAACTGGTGCACGTCCCTCCCCCCTCCCCCCCTTGTCCAACATAGATGTTCCCCATGGCCAACGCCTGTGGCAACACCTACGTCCTCAAGCCGTCCGAGCGCAACCCCGGCGCCTCCATGCGCATTGCTGAGCTCACTGAGCAGGCTGGCTTCACCCCGGGTCTGCTGAACATCGTCCACGGTGCCCATGTGCGTGTTTTCTCCTTTCTCCCCCTTCTTCTGGTGCTCTCCCTTTCGCCGTTTGCTGACCTCCCCCCCTTTCGCCTCCCCCTCATCCTCCTTCGCCTCCCCCCCTCCTCCTCCTCCTCCTTCGCCTCCCTCTCCCCCCCTCCCCGTCCCCCCTCCCCATCCCTCCCAATCTGACTCACTTGCGCGTGACACAGGATTCCGTGAACATGCTTTGCGACCACCCCGACATTCGTGCCGTCTCCTTTGTCGGCGGCGACCGTGCCGGGCGCCACATCTTCGCCCGTGCCACCGCCACCGGCAAGCGTGTCCAGGCCAACACCGCGGCCAAGAACCATGGTGTCATCATGCCGGATGCCAACAAGAACCACACCCTGAGCCAGCTGGTTGGTGCGGCCTTCGGCGCGGCCGGGCAGCGCTGCATGGCCCTGTCGGTGGCCGTGTTCGTCGGGTCGTCGCGTGAGTGGCTCCCGGAGCTGGTGGAGATGGCCAGCAAGCTGAAGGTCAGCGGCGGCATGGAGGCCGATGCCGACATCGGGCCGCTCATTTCCGCCCAGGCCAAGCAGCGTGCCGAGGGCATCATCGCCGATTCCATCGAGCAGGGCGCCGAGATCCTGCTGGACGGGCGCCAGGTGACCGTGCCGGAGAAGTATGCCGCCGGGCACTTCCTCGGGCCGACCATCATGACCAACGTCTCGCCGGCCATGTCCTGCTACTCGGAGGAGATCTTCGCCCCGGTGCTGTCTTGCGTCTTTGTCGATACCCTGGACGAGGCCATCGCCCTGATCAACTCCAGCCCGTACGGCAATGGCACGGCCATCTTCACCAACTCCGGCGCCGCGGCCCGGCGCTTCACCAACGACATCGACGTCGGCCAGGTGGGTGTCAATGTTCCGATCCCGGTGCCTCTGCCGATGTTCTCCTTCACCGGCTCGCGCGGGTCCATCCGCGGCGACACCCACTTCTACGGCAAGGATGCCATCCGCTTCTTCACCCAGACCAAGACTGTGACCAGCCTCTGGCGTTCGGCCGATGCGGAGGTGTCCCGTGCTGCGGTTCACATGCCCACCATGAAGTAAATGCGAGAGCATGGCTGCCGGGGGTCCCCTCTCCCCTTCTCCCCGGTGCCATCTATCGATCGATTGATCGGTCTCCCTCTCTTCCGGAAGCATCCCCAGCGCGTCCGTGTCTTAGCCTGATCCCCTTTCGGTGGGTGTCCGGTGCTCATGTTGTGGATGCATCGTGTCCGTGTGGCGGGAGTTTCTCCTCACAGTCCTCGCCTGCACCCGTTGAATAAATGTGCCCCTATGTGTGTGTATGTATGTGTGTGTGTGTGTGTGTCTTTGTGTATACCCTGGGGCAGCAGCCTGTTCCTCGATCTTCCTTGCTCTCTCCCCCGGTGTCCGTGTTGGAGGTGTGTGTGTGTGTGTGTGTGTGTGTGTGTGTGTGAATGGCCCATCATCGCAAGTGCACACCTAATCTATCCATCTATCTATACATATATATTGGACGGCATGTAGAAATGCACACCTGGACAAAGGGCAGAGGGGCACGGAGAGCAAGTACAAAGGACAGCGAAAGCACAAAGGCAGAGGGAGGGAAGAGAGGGGGGCCGGGGCGGGGGGATGGCTGTGTCTGGGACTCAGACGTCCAGGTCGCCTTCCTCGTCCCCGCACGAGGCATGCATCGGGTCGGTCCACCAGACCCCACGACCATCGGTGCGAATGCCGCTGTTGCCCCCGCCATCGGTAAGGAGGAAAAGACGCAAGCGGAGCCAAGCGCGCGAGAGCCACGAATCCGGCCGCGCCACCGGGGCCACCATCCACCAGTAGAACACCCGCGGGGTGTACACCACCAGGGCGCTGACCAGCATGACGATCGACACGATGACCACCCGGAACCAGGGAAAGCGGATGCCACTGCCGCAGGGGACCCCGCTGCTGCTGGTCCCGCTGCCGACGCACGGGGTGGCCGGCACCGGCAGGGCGATGGTCGACAGGCTGACCACCCAGGCCAGGTAAACAAACAGCAGCAGCGGCATGTAGTTCCGGCGCATGCGAATGCGGAAGGCGCGCAGGCGGGACATTCGAGGAATGGTTCCCGGCAGGTAGGCCGCCAGGAGGGCCTGCCGCCAGGGGGTGTTGATGGTCAGAGGCGGCCGGGCCAGGAGCCCGGCCATGGCGTTGTCGACGCCCAAAAGGTGCTCCTTTTCGGTGGACCAGGCCGACTCCAGGGGAAGGGGGGGCATTTGGCCGACCATCGTCGGGGGCATTGGCACCATCGGCGGCATGGGTGGCGGCGGGGGGGACTGCGCCAGCGGCGACATCATGGCCGGCAGGTCGCCTGGATTGGCTGTCGAGCCGGCCGGCGGCCACAGGTCATGCTCAAGGCTCACCGGGGCATAGAGCCCGGGCGAAGAGGCCGACCCAGGGAGGAATGGCATGTCGCCAGGCATGCTGGCCGATCGGGGGAGTCCTCTTGAGGCGGAATGCGCCAGACCGGCCGATGTGTCGGAATGCCGGTCGGCATCCGTCCGGCCGGTGGCCGAAAGAGCCGGCGAGATCGGCACCGGCAGGAAGGTTTGCCCGGCGATCGGGGATCGAGGGGCCGCGGTGCCGGGCTGCCCGGCGGCCCACTGCCGCTGCCCGAGACGTCCCTGGATGGTGGTCGGATGGAAGGGCCCCGGGGCCATGGACGTGGCCGCGGTGGCGGCCGCCGAATGGAGGGCCGATCGCAAGTCCGCCGAGAGGGACTCCTCCACCGGCAGCGAGGAGACATTGTCCGGCTCCTCATTGATGGGGTAGGAGTACCCGTCGAAGGTGTAGACCCGCTCGCGGCAGAGGGACGCCCGGCCGGACGTAGTCGACGGGAATGCCTCCGGATCGCCGCCAGCCGGGGCATAAATGCTCGGCCGGCCGAGGCTCGGCGCTATGCTCACGCGCCCGGGCGGCAGGGAGCCCGGCGGCAATTGCGGCGTGCCCGGCGGGCCAGGGTCATTGGGCAGGTGGACCGAAGCCAGATCATGGTCATCGGACACCGGGGTCCCATGGCGTGGGGGCCCGCCGCCGCTGAAGCCGGTGGCCATCTGCCGCCCGGTGGGATCCAAAATGGCCGCGTACATGCCGCGTTCCAGGACCCGGCATCGGTGGCGGATGACCGTGTAATACCCATAGCGGCGGGACTCGATGCCGCAGAAGATCAACTACGCGGTCGGCGGGGCCGAGACCGGGGGAAGGAGGCCATGGAGCAGGATTCAACAAAGAGGAGGGTCAGTGCCCCGGGGCGAGCTTTCATGGCCGGAAGGGCCCGATATCCGGGGGAGGGGGGGGGGGGGGGCGAACGCACCACCATGACAGTGGCCACAACAAAGACCGAGCCGCTGCCGAGAACCACCGCCGAAGAGGGATCGCGTGTGGGAAGCGTCGGGTCGGAGGCCAGGCGAATGGAATTTGTCAGCCCCCAGGCCACCAGGGCGGCAGCCGTGCTAACTGCCCAGGCAGTCGTGGCATCCAGCCGCGACCGGTAGGCCGTCAGTCGGGAAATCTGCGACCATCCCCCGGCGATGATTGGCACACAGGCAGCGACACATGCGGGGAGAAGGGACATCCGTGGTAAGTGGGCGAGAGTGGCAAGGGAAGAGGCACAGCGGGCAGGGATGCAAGCAGCAAGGGCGAAAGGCCGCACCTCGGCACGGTACAAGTGCACCAGGGGGGTCACCTCATCCGGAGCCAGGGGCGTATCGCGCCAGGTGAGACGCGTCTGCATCCGATGTCGCGGGGTCCAAAACATGTGGGTCTTGTAGGGGTCAACCGGCTGGCCATGCATGGGCAGCGTGGTGGAAGAGGAGGATGCCGATGAGGAGGAGGAGGAGGAGGAGGAGGAGGCGCGATGGGAGCCCGGCGCGGAGGCGTAGAGGCTTCCCCGGGTGGACCGGATGGACCCCCGACGAAGGGGCTGCCCATTGACCGTGGCCCCGGCGAAGGACATGGGCGACGAGGCCATGGTCGACTGCATGCCCTCCAAGAAGGACCGGTCGTCTTCGGCATCGGCCATGGATGAGCGCGAGCCGTAGCGCCCACCGCCGACACGGCTGCCGGCTGGCGGTCGCCGACTGCCGGCCCGTGAGGGGTCGGCGCTGATGCTGAACCGGCCGGATAGCGGTGTGGGTGGCAGACTGCCGCTGGCCGTCGGGGTCGGAGGCACCAGCGGCGGCGGCGGCGGCGGCGGCGGCGGCGGCTGCCGGGCCGATGATGCTGAGCTCGATGTCCCGAGCGGCTGCAGCTCGATGGCCGCCAGTGCGGGCCCGCGTCGACTGGCCCGGCTGGGGACGAAGTCAAACTCGAAGTCCGGGATGAAGGCCTCATCCGACAGGGAGCCATGGATGTTGCCAGCCGGGCTCGGAGCATAGGGGTGCTGCAGTTGGCCGCCCGGCCGGAAGGCCCCGCCGATCATGGCCGCAAGCCGAGGCCAAGGGCTGCCGGTCGAGGTGGCCGGGCTGGATCCCAGTATCCCCGGGTCCAGGGAATCCGAATCCAAGGCGCCTGCTCGCATGGGCCCGAACCCGGTCGGCTGGATGGCCACCGGCGAGGCCGAGCCACTTGCCGGGACCGACCGGCCGCCGATGCGCCGGGCAATCAGGTGTCGCGAATCGTCATCATCATCCTCGGCGTCGATGCTCGAGTGCCCATCGGCGAGATCATCGTCCGCGCCGTTGCCAGGCCGGAGCTGCGGTGCCAGGGGGTAGGGTGTGACATGGGAGGGGGTAAATTGCTCGCTCGTCATTCGTTCGGAGTGGATTTGGGGATGAGCATGGTGGGGAGCCCCTGTGCGGGAAGCCGGCGCGGCACGCGCACGCCCACGCCCTGGCGGGATGGATGTCACGGCCGAGCCTGCATGGGGGGCCCCCACGGTGGAGGAAAGCTCCTCCGGCCGACCGGGGCCCCCGATTAAATGCGGACTGGCCCCATGGGACAGGTTATCCAACTCGGAGGTGGACATGGTCGAATAGAAGCCCAGCTGCGTGGGGGACAGGCTGGCCGAGGAGGCCGAATCCAGTGAAGATACCTGCTGCTGGGGGCCGACCGACAGTCCGGGACTGGCCGTTGGGGCTGGGCCAGCCGGGCCGGGCCGAGTGATCGGAGCTGCCATGGCGGCGGGTGGCTGGCTTCGGGAAGTCCCCCGGCCGGCTGCCAAAGGACTGGCCACCGAGCCGCCGGCCACCGATCGGCCAACAGTGCCGGTTGCGCCTGGGCCAAAGTTCGTCGGTTGTGGGATGGCCGGGTCCATCAGATTCAGCGGCTTGAGTTGGGACTCGGAGGGAAGGATGCCACTGTCCAGCTGGTAGGGAACCAGGCCGGTGGCATCGGAGGGGCCCGACACTCCTTCGGCCTCGAGCCCAGGCGCGGCCGAGGGCGATGCCTCTACCAACCCGCAGGGCAGTGATCGAGCGGCCTGGGTGGCCGACATGTCGCGGGTGTTGGGAGGCCAGTTGAGCAGTTGCCCGGTGTAGTGGTCTTGCAGGGGATAGTGCAGGTGGCGGTTGTCGGCTTGGCCAGCCGCTTGGGCAGCGGCGACGGCAGCCGCGGCGGCGATGGCCGCCGCCGCCGTTGGCGGGGCGTAGCCTCCACCGGCGGCCGGGGAGGCCATGGCCACCAGCCCAGGCGGCTCACTGGCCGACTGGCCGAAGCTTGTTCGAGGTGAGGGGTTCCAACTCCGGGCATGGGTCAGGTGTGTGGGAATGGCAGCGGCCGGACCCGTTGCCGGGTGGGCACTCTGCTCGCTGGAGGCCGCCGAGACTCGGGAGGGTGGCTGCTGGTGCGCCGGACGCGCGCCTCGGCCTTGGCCGGCCGCTGCTCCGCCATGCACAGGGAGTCACGGGAAGAAAGAGGAACAGAGGAAGGGGGGAGGGGTGAGGGAGGGGGGAGGGGTGAGGGAGGGGGGAGGGATGAGGGAGGGGGAAGCAAAGGGAAAGGAGAGGAGCGAAGGAGGGGGCAGAGAGGGAGAGGGGGAGGGGGGTGATGCAAGCGGGTCACAGGACGGCAGGGGGATGGCCCTGTCCGAGGAAGAGCAGGGGGGGGGGGGACCAAGCGGCTGAGCCGGCTTGTGGAGTGGGCGCACCAGCAGTCAGAGCACGGGCCATGTTGGCCGCGATGATGGCATCCTCACTTTCTGCATCATAGAGGGTGGACACCGGGGCAATGCCGACCGAAAATTGGGCCGCCGCGGCGGCTGTCGGATGGGCCGGCCCAGCGCGCGGGTCCCACCCGGACGGCGAGGTGGAGAAGGAGGCGCGGGGGGGCTCGCTTGGCGCGGCTTGCGGCGAGGTGGCATGGGCCGCGGCCTCGAAGGACCGCCGGGCGGAGGATGGGTTCGGCGGTGAGGGCAGTGGCGAGGTGAAGTCAATGGCACCGGGGACATAGGCGGACGCCGGATTCGACGCCAGCGATGAATTGGAGCCCCACGCCCGATTGGACATGGCCTCACGGGGACAGGGACGCGTGGTCTTGGAGGGGGGGGGGGGAGAAGGGGGCAGGACTTGCGCG